GGGGTTCCAATGGAAATATTCTTTAAGGGTAACAATATTAGGCTGGGGAGAAAGATCCCACAAATTCTTAATCTTAGGACATAGAAGTCACTAAAAGAATGATTCAGAACTGTCCTTTGTCTGCAGTATTTGAAATTAGATAAACAGTTTATGTTATATGATTGTATTAGTAGTAGTGTGAATCAATGTTAGGCAGTAAACATGAAGATGAATGATTATGGAGGTTAAAGTGACTCTGTCGTTATGTCACAAGAATAAAACTAAAGGCACCCTGTAAAACAACTAGTCCAGTCAGCAGCTGCTTCAGTCATCACTCTCTTGCAGAGCTATGACTGCCATTTCTTAGTGTGTATTAAATACCTGGTACCTTGCTAAGTGTTGTTGCTTTGTGGATGCCACTGACCCCTATGTCACTACTGTATCCTGTAATGACTTAGGGCTGAGTGAGGGGAAATCATAGTACACAGTGTGGGACCAGGTATCCAACTCACATGGAATTGTTGGATACCAGTTGCCAAGTCTGTCCCTATAATGAGGCAGCATGAGGCAGTTGCTTTAGGCAGCATCTCATTGGGTCACATGGGGCACACCTGGCACCCACTGTCTGGCCAGAGAGTCCCAGGTTGCTAAGAGTTCTTAGCAACCTGTGACACTCTGGCTGCCGTCCTGCCCAGCTCATTGACATCAATGGTCGCCAGTAGGTGAGCAGGATGTTCTGTCTGGCAAACTGCCCTGCTCCTGGCAACCACTGACATCAGTGAGCCGGGCAGGATGCCAGACAGAGTCAGACCCAGAGGGAGCACCAGCCCCCCAAACCCCTTCATAATGTGCACCACCAGTAACCCCCCCCCCCCGGTAATGTGCACCAACAGCACCACTCCCCCTGGCCTCAGGCGGCGAATAGTGTAGGTATACCCCTGCCAGCAGCAGCCATAGCTCTGCCAGAGAGCAAACGTTGAAACGTTGAAGTCACCACTTGCTAAACTGCTAAGTATTCTTGTGTTACAGGATGCTTTTATTTTTATTTTTGTGACAGATGTAGCAACAGACCTATATGGTTCATCTACAAAACTGTTGTAAATAAAGAATATCCTTGCCCCCCCACTCCACAACCACAATATTCCAGACCCCAGTTCTCAAACAATATGGAGGAAACAGCTCTCATTGCCTCTACTTCTTACACATCTAGATTAAGCAATAGCACTACTTCACAATATACAAAATAAAGTCCCTCATTGGGAAAGGTGTGGAGGTATATACTACTGGAGAAAATAGACAATTATTTAACAAAACAATATGAAAGAAAATGCAAATGGAGGAACAACACTTTAAAAAAACGGTCTACAGATGACATAATGAAGGCAGTAGGAGGTAGTGGGTACAACAAATAGTGTACCATTTATCATGTGGACTGATGTTCATTCCCTTAGAGTAATCTCTTCTTCAAGGTGTTGGCCCTGTGGTAACTAGGCATAGTAAATGTTTTATATTATATATGTATTTTGTATTAGAAAATGCGTTGTCAATCATATTCAAGTGAAAGTATGTTAGAGTAAAGTCTATTGGCTTTATAATAGCTCACTAAGTTAAAACCAAGCCTATTTTGATTTATTGGGAAAGACAAAAGCCTTAAAACGTCAAAGATGCATGAACAGAACCTAACCTTGTTCTAAATTTCTTTTTCATGGTTGAAGTATCCATTTCAAACTTCTGTTTCTTCTGCTCAGATTCTTCTTCTTCTGTATAGGAATATGTGATACTCTTTTCCATGCTAAATCCACAAGTCTAGTGAAAAAAGACAAATACATAACCCTTATCTGCTTGTTCCTAACAGTGTTATTTATAACTGGCTTAAGAAAATATGAAGCTTACATCCACGCAAAGTACATATGCTAAACTTTGACCTGTGTGTGATGACCTGTTCACATATTAGCACCTACCCTTGAACGAAGTGTCAGAAACATATTATAGGTGATGACATTATGAACATTGACAGGGTTATTCATAGACATGTGCACTGCCAAAAAATTCGTTTAGTTTCGTTTCGTTTTAAATTCGGATTTGTGTTATTTTGTTTTTCAGGATTCGGGTGTGAAAGTCAATTCGGATTCAGAATTCGGATTCGGACGAAATTCGGTAGCGTTAGTACGAACGTTCGTTTCGTTTTCTGTTCTTATTCGTTTCGTTCGTTCGTTTGCAGCAAAAGTGACATTTGAGGGGGAAAAAATATTTTTCTCCTTCTCTGTCACTTTGCTCCAACGAACGAAACGAATAAGAAACGAATAAGAACAGAAAACGAAACGAACGTTCGTACTAACGTTACCGAATTTCGGAAATGGAAATTCGGATTCGTTTGCATTCGTTATGTCTGTAATTCGGAATTCGGATACATCTGAATGTCCGAATTTCCGAAAATTCGTCCGAATTTCGATTCGGAACGAAACGAATCGCACATGTCTTTTCACAACAGGGTGAAGGGTTTGGAGAAGGCAGGAGAAGTGAACAATTTAGAACAGAATAGCTGAACTGGAAAGTGAGCTGAATTGGAGAATTGTTCCACATCAGCTATGTTGTCCTAGGGGTCTATTCACTAAGCTGCCGTAGGCAGCCGAGTGAATGACCAACCTGAAGTGAAGTGAGCCGAACACTGTTCGGCTATTCACTTCAGGCTGGTACGGCTGATTTCAGCCGTATATCGGCTGAAATCAGCCGTACATCGGCTTGCTTCGCATTGCTTCGGGCTCAGCATGTTCAGCCGACCCGAAGTGCAGAAGGAGTTCCGGCAGGCTACTCACCGCTGTTCGGCCTATTCTTATAGATGCCGAACATCTTATAGATCTTATCGATGCTTATAGATGCTGAGCGGCATTCGGCTCGGCTGTTCTGCTCGGTCCCTCAGAAGGACCGAGCAGAACACAAAAGTAGTTTAAAAAGTTTAAAAAAAGTAAATAGAAAACGATTGTGCGGAGCAGTGACAGCTAGCGCCGCCCAATAGTTTCCTATTGTCCGGCGGCTCTGCTACCGTAAAAAAAAACCCGGAAAAAAACCTCTCCTTGGCACTCTGGGAGCCTCCCGCTCCCGGCCGCCCAGGAGAGAAACACTGCTTTTTATTTTTTTTCTCTTTATTCTGACACGGAGCTGTGTCAGAATAGAAAGAAAAAAAACATTTTTGCCCATTGGAATGCATTTCTAGATTCCTATTGGCTATTTCAATTTGCAATAGCCAATAGTAAACTAGCATTGTACCCGCCCTCTGCTG